GGCCCTGTCTACTTCGATTTAAGTTTGACTGGCTGACGTCTCGGTAAGAGAGTGTTATCCATATTTCCTAACCGTTGATTCTCGAGCATCAGCAAGGTCTCTGCTGTCTGATGAAACAATAAACAACTAGTTGATGAATATATTATAGGTTAACGAAAGATAGAATGAGATTATTACTTTGATAAGTAATGTGACAGAGAATACCAGAGGATTGTTGTTTTTAGTAATGCTGATTGTAATGCTTATTATGAATAGAAGTTAACACAGCATACGCCTGTATCAATGAAGCATGGTGCACATAACACAGAACATAGCTAACACAACATGCAGCTGTACACACACAGAGCCAACATTATTGTCACTCCACAGCTAATACAGCAAGGCACACAGCTAACACAGTAGTCTTGACGACTAGCACAGTGGCCTTTACAGCTAATAGGCACAGCCTCCGCTAACAGTGTCCTTCACGGCTAACAGAGCACAGCTAACACAGTGTCCCCCACAGCTAGGACATTCACGGGTTCACGTCCACGAGAGCACAGTGTGAAACAACCGCTGTAGTACTGCCGAGGTCACTTTAACCCCTACAGTGAAACCACGGAGGTCCTAGCAGCTCTACAGGTGAGTCTAGAAGCTCTCCAGGTGAGTCCTAGCAGCTCTCCCAGGTGAGGTCTAGCAGCTCTACCAGGCCAAAGTCCTAGCAGCTCTCCCAGGTGAGGTCCTGGCAGCTCTCCCAGGTGAGGTCTGGAACTCTCCCAGGTGAGTCCCTAGCAGCTCTACCAGGTGAGTCTAGCAGCTCTCCCAGGTGAGTCTAGGAACTCTCTCCCAGGTGAGTCCCTAGAGCTCTCCAAGGTGAGTCTAGCGGCTCTCCCGGGTGGTCTAGCAGCTCACCAGGTAAGTCTGGAAGCTCTCCCAGGTGAGTCTGGCAGCTCCTCCCAGGTGAATTCTAGCAGCTCTGCAGGTGAGGTCTAGCAGCTCTACCAGGTGAGGTCTAGGAACTCTCCCAGGTGAGTCTTGAAGCTCTCTACTCAGGTGAGTTTCTGGCAGCTCTCAGGTGAGGTCTAGCAGCTCTCACAGGTGAGGTCCTAGCAGCTCTACCAGGTCCTGAGACTCCTGCCAGGTGAGGTCCACAGGAACTTTCTGGGTGGTCAGGCTCTCTCTGGGTGAGTCTAGCAGCTCTCCCAGGTGAGTCCAAGATCTCCCAGGTGAGGTCCCAATGCTCTCCCAGTTGAGTCTAGCAGCTCTCCCAGGTGAATCCTTGCAGCTCTCCCAGGTGAGTCTAGCAGCTTTCCCAGGTGAGTCTACTTGAATCTCCCAAGGTGAGTCCCAGCAGCTCACCCAAGGTGAGTCCCAGCTTCTCTCCCAGGTGAGTCCCAGCAGCTCCCAGGTGAGTCTAGCAGTTCTGCAGTTGAGTCCCAGCAACTTTGGGTAAGTCCCTGTAGTTCTGGGTGAGTCCCAGCAACTGCCAGGTGAATCTAAATGAGTGCATCTCCCTTTAGATGAGCCACAGATCGTCATGCAGTCACAGGTTCTTCATTGAAGTTGCAGGAGTCACAGATCTTTTAGTTTAGTTCACTGGAGTCACAGATTGGTTAGTCACAGGCCTTTTAGATGAATTTAATGTAGTCACAGGTGCTTCAGTTGAGTCACAGGTCCTTCAGTCGAGTCACAGGTCCTTCAGTCGAGGTCACAGGCCTTTTAGATGAGTTTCATGTGAGTCACAGGTTTTTCAGTTGAGTCACAGGTCCATTAGTTGAGTCACAGGTCCTTTAGTTGAGTCACAGGTCCTTTCGTAGAGACACACAGGCCCTTTAGGTGAGTTCAATTGAGTCACAGATCATTCAGGTCAATCAAAGGGGTTTTTACAGCTACACATATGACCTAAAAGTGAAAGAATATTGATGAACAGAGATGAAAGGTTAGGTTAGGTTAGGTTAGGATGGTTTATTAGGATAGATTACATTAGGTTAATTTAAGGTTGATTAGGTTAGGCTAAATTAGGTTAGGTTAAGTAAGGTTAGGTTAGATAGGACCCCAGATGATAATTACTGTTCTAATTTAACCCTAGATGACCTATTCCTCTGTTTGAATCCACAAGGCGAATTCAGAACGCTGGTTTGAAACCGCAGGAAGGCTTAAACCAGGATCGAGCTAAGATTGGCTTGAGCCAACACAAAGAATTCAAACCCGGTTTGAGATCGGAATTATCGATCTCGCATTAATCCAGCATGTAGGCAGGTTTAGCTGTCGACCCCGTCATTCAAGATAGGAAGTCAGCATGAATTTTAACAGAGTGCGCTTTTCGGCATTCATCGTCAAATTGGAAATTTTGTAGAAGACTGAAAGGTAGATAGGCACAATCTATCAAATTTCATGATGACACGCAATTCAGACAACGATATTGGTTCAGCAGGGAGATTTCCTTAATATTTTCAAAATGATATAGACATCGACTTAACAGACCTGTTGCATAGTTCTTTCTACCTCCTATTCATCGGCAGTTCTTTTGCAACGAATAGTTTCCGGGTAAATATTTTTGTTACTAAGTGAATTATGGTTATAATATTACAACACTTTCATGATTGGGGTCCATGAAGATCAAGCTTCTTTATTTTGAGTGATTTTCTTGAGCTTTTTTGATGTATTTTCTTTATAATTGATTCAATGCTCAATGCATTTTGATTTAGATGTATTAATAAAGGGAAAGTCTTTCTTAACATTACTAATCAGGGGAAATGTGGAGTTAAAGAGGATAAAAGAAACCTAACCGATCTGACACCTGTCTGGATTATATCTACAATTTGTATGTATTGTTATTCCTCTATAAATTTCTTTATTATCATATAACAACACAGCCACTCATGTAACACATTACCATAAATCATTATAATTTAATCATAATTTGCTTGAAATTATAATGTAAAGTAACTTATGATGTGCAAGGAGAGATTTCTCCTCCTCTGCTTAAAACTTGAGTGCAGATTTAACACATAATCTTGTAAAGCATTACTCTCGTGGTGATTTGTTTTCATAATGGTGTAACTGAGAGGCAGTGGCTGGAATTTCACTGTTCGAATCCTTGCTCCGTAACTGGAGAAATTGCAACAGATTACCGATCCGACGTTCAAATATGTTCTGAATATGGGTGAATTCGCAGGAAATCTCGGATCGAGGAATCCCGATTCACAAACTGGGCCCAGCTCAATCCCAGAGCTCAAACCACCCGTTCTGTATTCGAAGACTCACGTGACCCTCTCTTTTTTACCTCTATTAAGAAATAGTAGGTTTGCTCGATTTGATTGACCTCTATTGACCTGGTTTAACCTCAAATGTCTTGTACCTTCCCACCATTTTTTGACCCTAGCCAAGCCAGACCTTCTAATTTTTCTGACCTTTGATTGAACTTGTTGCTCTCCTCCTGACATTATTTGCTCTCACTCCCTGACATTGTTGCTCTCACTCTATTTATTGTTGCTCTCCTCCCACAACATTGTTGCTCTCCTCCCTGACATTGCTGCTCTCACTTAACATTACTGCTCTCCTCCCACAACATTGTGCTCTCTCCCAACATTGTTGCTCTCCTCCCTGACAGCTATTTGCTCTCTCCTCTAAACATTGCTGCTCTCCTCCACAGCCTTCTTTGCTCTCCTCCCTGGCCATTGCTGCTCTCCTCCCACAACATTGTGCTCTCCTCCCTGACATTGCTCTCCTCTGACATTATTTACTCTCCTCCCTAGCTTGTTGCTGCTCTCCTCCCTGACATTTGTTGCTCTCCTCCCTGACATTATTTGCTCTCCTCCCTGACATTGCTGCTCTCCTCCCTGACATTGCTGCTCTCCTCCCTGACATTGCTGCTCTCCTCCCTGACATTGCTGCCTCTCCTCCTATTTGACACTCTCCTCCTGACTTATTTACTGCTCTCCTCCCTGACATTGCTGCTCCTCCCTGACATTGTTGCTCTCCTCCCCTGACATTTGTTGCTCTCCTCCTGACATTGCTGCTCTCCTCCCTGACATTTGCTCTCCTCCACAACATTGTGCTCTCCTCCCTGACATTGCTGCTCTCCTCCCTGACATTGTTGCTCTCCTCCCTGACATTTACTGCTCTCCTCCCTGACATTGCTGCTCTCCTCCCTGTTATTGTTGCTCTCTCCTCCCACAGTATTTGTTGCTCTCCTCCCACAACATTGCTGCTCTCTCCCTGACATTGCTGCTCTCCTCCCTGACATTACTGCTCTCCTCCCTGACATTGCTGCTCTCCTCCCTGACATTGCTGCTCTCCTCCCTGACATTTGCTGCTCTCCTCCCTGACATTGTTGCTCTCCTCCTGACATTGTTGCTCTCCTCCCTGACATTGCTGCTCTCACTCCTGACATTGTTGCTCTCCTCCCTGACATTGTTGCTCTCCTCCTGACATTGTTGCTCTCCTCCCTGACATTGTTGCTCCTCCCTGACATTGTTGCTCCTCCCTGACATTGTTTGCTCCTCCCTGACATTGTTGCTCTCCTCCCCTGACATTACTGCTCTCCTCCCTGACATTGCTGCTCTCCTCCCTGACATTGCTGCTCTCCTCCCTGACATTGTTGCTCTCCTCCCACACAACATTTATTTGCTCTCACTCCCTGGCATTGCTGCTCTCCTCCCTGGCATTACTCACTCTCCTCCCTGACATTGCTGCTCTCACTCCCTGAAAGCATTGTTGCTCTCCTCCCTGACAATTTGTTGCTATCCTCCCTGACATTGCTGCTGCTCTCCTCCCCTGACATTTGCTGCTCTCCTCCTGACATTGTTTGCTCTCCTCCTGACCTTGTTCTCCTCCCTGACCTTGTTGCTCTCCTCCCTGACCTTGTTGCTCTCCTCCCTGACATTGTTGCTCTCCTCCCTGATATTGTTGCTCTCCTCCCTGACCTTGTTGCTCTCTCCTGACCTTGTTGCTCTCCTCCCTGACATTGTTGCTCTCCTCCCTGACCTTATTTGCTCTCCTCCCTGACCTTGTTGCTCTCCTCCCTGACCTTGTTGCTCTCCTCCCTGACCTTGTTGCTCTCCTCCCTGACCTTATTTACTCTCCTCCCTGACATTGCTGCTCTCCTCCCTGACATTGCTGCTCTCCTCCCCGAGCATTGTTGCTCTCCTCCCTGAAACTTGTTGCTGCTCTCCTCCCTGACATTGCTGCTCTCCTCCACAACATTGTTGCTCTCCTCCCCAACATTGTTGCTCTCACTCTGACATTGCTGCTCTCCTCCCTGACGGCTGCTCTCCTCCCACAGCGGCCTGCTCTCCTCCTGACATTGTTGCTCTCCTCCCTGGCAGCTGCTGCTCTCCTCCCTGACATTGTTGCTCTCCTCCCTGACATTGTTGCTCTCCTCCTTGACATTGTTGCTCTCCTCCCTATTTGCTGCTCTCCTCCCTGACATTGTTGCTCTCCTCCCTGACATTGTTGCTCTCCTCCCTGACATTGTTGCTCTCCTCCCTGACATTGTTGCTCTCCTCCCTGACATTGTTGCTCTCCTCCCTGACATTGCTGCTCTCCTCCCTGACATTGCTGCTCTCCTCCCTGACATTGTTGCTCTCCTCCCTGACATTGTTGCTCTCCTCCCTGACATTGGTTGTCTCCCTGACCTTGTTGCTCTCCTCCTGACCTTGTTGCTCCTCCCTGATATTGTTGCTCTCCTCCCTGACCTTGTTGCTCTCCTCCCTGGCAGCACGTGGGTGACCTTGGCAACATCGAGGTGGAGGAAGACGGGAGCTGGAGGGCTACATCGTCAGCGACAACCACGTGGCCTTCAATGGCAGCTCCATCATCGGCAAGGCCATAGTGGTGAGTCTTGGGGGCCATAGTGATGAGTCCTGGGGGCCATAGTGGTGAATCCTGGGATATAGTGGTGAGTGAGTGAGTCCTGGGGGCAGTAGCATGAGTGTGTGAGTGAGTCCTGGGGGGTATTATGGTATTATATTAGTAAACCATGGAGCTATAGTTGTGAATCATGGTGCGTTAATAGTGAATAGTGGAGCTATAGTAGTGAATAGTGGAGCTATAGTAGTGAATCATGATGCTATAGTAGTGAATCATGGAGCTATAGTAGTGAATCATGTGCGTTAGTAGTGAATCATGGTATTATAGAAGTGAATCATGGTATTATAGTAGTGAATCATGGAGCTATAGTAGTGAATCATGGAGCTATAGTAGTGAATCATGGAGCTATAGTAGTGAATAGTGGAGCTATAGTAGTGAATCATGATGCTATAGTAGTGAATCATGGAGCTATAGTAGTGAATCATGGAGCTATAGTAGTGAATAGTGGAGCTATAGTAGTGAATCATGGTGCGTTAGTAGTGAATCATGGTATTATAGTAGTGAATCATGGAGCTATAGGAGTGAATCATGGTGCTGTAGTAGTGAATCATGGAGCTACAGTAGTGAATCATGGAGCTATAGTAGTGAATCATGGTGCTGTAGTAGTGAATCATGGAGCTAAAGTAGTGAATCATGGAGCTATAGTTGTGAATCATGGTATTATACTAGTGAATCATGGTATTATAGTCGTGAATCATGGAGCTATAGTAGTGAATCATGGTATTATACTAGTGAATCATGGTATTATACTAGTGAATCATGGTATTATAGTCGTGAATCATGGAGCTATAGTAGTGAATCATGGTATTGTAGTTGTGAATCATGGCATTATAGTAGGGAATCATGGTATTGTAGTTGTGAATCATGGCATTATAGTAGTGAATCATGGTATTATACTAGTGAATCATGTTATTATAGTAGTGAATCATGGTATTGTAGTTGTGAATCATGGCATTATAGTAGTGAATCGTGGAGCTGTAGTAGTGAATCATGGTATTATAGTAGTAAATCATGTTATTATAGTAGTGAATCATGGTATTATACTAGTGAATCATGGTATTATACTAGTGAATCATGGAGCTATAGTAGTGAATCATGGTATTATAGTAGTGAATCATGGTATTGTAGTTGTGAATCATGGTATTATAGTAGTGAATCGTGGAGCTGTAGTAGTGAATCATTGAGCTATAGTAGTGAATCATTGAGCTATAGTAGTGAATCATTGAGCTGTAGTAGTGAATCATTGAGCTATAGTAGTGACTCATTGAGCTGTAGTAGTGAATCATGGAGCTATAGTCGTGAATCATGGAGCTATAGTAGTGAATCATTGTGCTATAGTAGTGAATCATGGTATTATAGTAGTGAATCATGGAGCTATAGTAGTGAATCATGGTATTATAGTAGTGAATCATAGAGCTATAGTAGTGAATCATGGAGCTATAGTAGTGAATTATGGTATTATAGTAGTGAATCATGGAGCTATAGTAGTGAATCATTGAGCTGTAGTAGTGAATCATTGAGCTATAGTAGTGAATCATTGAGCTATAGTAGTGAATCATTGAGCTGTAGTAGTGAATCATGGAGCTATAGTAGTGATTCATAGAGCTATAGTAGTGAATCATTGAGCTATAGTAGTGAATCATGGTATTATAGTAGTGAATCATAGAGCTATAGTAGTGAATCATAGAGCTATAGTAGTGAATCGTGGAGCTATAATAGTGAATCATAGAGCTATAGTGGTGAATCATGGAGCTATAGTGGTGAATCATGGTATTATAGTAGTGAATCATGGAGCTATAGTAGTGAATCATGGAGCTATAGTAGTGAATCATTGTGCTATAGTAGTGAATCATGGAGCTATAGTAGTGAATCATGAAGCTATAGTAGTGAATCATGAAGCTATAGTAGTGAATCATTGAGCTATAGTAGTGAATCATGGAGCTATAGTAGTGAATCATGGTATTATAGTAGTGAATCACAGAGCTATAGTAGTGAATCATTGAGCTATAATAGTGAATCATGGAGCTATAGTGGTGAATCATGGTATTATAGTAGTGAATCATAGAGCTATAGTAGTGAATCATGGTATTATAGTAGTGAATCATAGAGCTATAGTAGTGAATCATTGAGCTATAATAGTGAATCATGGAGCTATAGTAGTGAATCATGGTATTATAGTAGTGAATCATGGAGCTATAGTAGTGAATCATGGTACTATAGTAGTGAATCATGGAGCTATAGTAGTGAATCATGGTACTATAGTAGTGAATCATGGTGCTATAGTAGTGAATCATGGAGCTATAGTAGTGAATCACGGAGCTATAGTAGTGAATCATGGAGCTATAGTAGTGAATCGTGGAGCTAAAGTAGTGAATCATGATGCTATAGTAGTGAATCATGGAGCTATAGTAGTGAACCATGGTACTATAGTAGTGAATCACGGAGCTATAGTAGTGAATCATGGAGCTATAGTAGTGAATCATGGAGCTATAGTAGTGAATCATGGAGCTATAATAGTGAATCATGGAGCTATAGTAGTGAATCATGGTACTATAGTAGTGAATCATGGAGCTATAGTAGTTGAATCATGGTACTATAGTAGTGAATCATGGCGCTATAGTAGTGAATCATGGAGCTATAGTAGTGAATCATGGAGCTATAATAGTGAATCATGGAGCTATAGTAGTGAATCAAAGCAATTTTGGTGCCACGAGTTGGAAATGGTTTAAACACCACAATAGGTTACTAGTGTATCGAATCCTTAGTGCATGGTGTCCTTAGTGTTTCAAGTCCTTAGTGTATCGAGTCCTTAGTGTTTCAAGTCCTTAGTGTTTCGAGTCCTTAGTGTTTAGAGTCCTTAGTGTTTAGTGTCCTTAGTGTTTCGAGTCCTCTGTGTATGGAGGCCTTAGTGTATCGAGTTCTTAGTGTTACGAGTCCCCAGCAAGAGGGAGGGCGTACTATAACAAACGTCACCTACCATTGTTTATGTCGCAAAAAATCACTTACCATTCTTTCTGTCATAGGTCCACGCAGGGCAGGATGACCTAGGCCTTGGTGGGAACGCAGGAAGTTTAACCACGGGTAACGCAGGAGGTCGCCTCGCCTGCTGTAACATAAAACGAGATCGTGACTTCTTCTTCAGGTTTAAGGGCTGAGTGTCTAAAGGGTTGTCTCTATGGTTCAGCCCTTTTTACCCGTTCAAGGGCTGAATGTCCAGGAATCCTGATCAAGATTGTTTTAACTGCAGGTTCAAGGCTGAGTAGTGGTCCTGAAAGTTTTGTGTATTGTGTGTGAATTTTCAACCACTTGGGACCAGATCTTACCATACTTAGTTTTACCTGACTCAATAAGATACATGATTATTCTGTTGTATATTAAATAAACTGGTATATAATGTTTTGTGTCCAAAACTCTTTAGTTTTTCCAAACTATTTTGAATAAGCTGCGGTGGGTTTTTTGTTTTTGTTTCTGTTTTTTTTACATGATAAGAAACAGTTTGCGAACATTTGACAGTTTGTTCCTGGCTTCCACAATTTCATTTTGGTACTGAATAAAATAACTGTATACATTAGTCAATGTATTATTGCATATAATATAATCCACAATATATACTCTGCTATATCAATATTTTTCAATATATACACACATACATTCCTGTTGAGATATAAGGCTTTTATACTGGTTGTTAATGAGACACATCAGCTTCTTGTTGGTGCTTAAGAGTTGTGTTGTAAGAAGGTAAGGCCTGGTGGGCCATGTACCTTACAGTGCTAATTATTAACAACAACAACGATTGACTGCTGAAAATAACACGTTATTTAGAACGCTGTAAATATACTTGCAGTGATAAGTTTGTTTTCCTCTATTATAAAAATTTGTTTGGTTTCATTATTCTTAAGGAATTGTGAAGGTGAAGGTTTACAATATCATCTCACAAAATACACAGATTCTAAAAGACTTGCTTTTGTTTCGGTTTCCAAAATTGACTATCTTATGCTATAATTATGTTTTAGGGGTCGAACCTTCGATCCCGGGGCACACCAGAGCCACCCAGCTTTATAAAGGTGTCCATTTGTACAGTTTAAGAAGTGTAAGGCCATCGAGTGCTGTCTCTACACTGTCCTTAATGGACTGCTGGGCTTGTGGAATCCTCTTTCACTTCTTCATCATGCTAAAGAAAAACCCAGTTTAGTATATAGTAACAAGTATACATCAATATCGGTAGGAAAACTGCTGCTATTGTTACAAATATTTCATTATATTTACCAGTAATATTAGAGATGAGTTTGTTGTTGAGAAATCTTATCTTCAAGGAAATAATAGCATTAAGGCCATAGTCAAACATACTGTACGCGTTCATTGCCCCACACGTTCACGGTCACAAGACTCCATCACCACCCTCCAGCACAACACTGGCTCAATAAAACGAACCCAACATTTGTCTGCTACATTCATAATGAGTTATATGTAATAGTTTTAAGTATGACGTTACAAAATTGAACATGTAATAATAAATATTGCCGGTTAACCAAACAAAAAGTTAACACGATTCACTATATGAAAAAAACCCGAGTCTGTATTCGAAGTTAAGATGCAGCACGTAAATTAGTTAAGGCGGCATCAGTAAAGTGTTAGGGCAGTTGTGAATGATGGTTTACCGCTTTTGTTTACTGTTGACCGCCAGGTGAGTTCTGATATATCCAGTTACTTACAGGGGAAGTTTAACACGCCAACACTGGGGAACCTGAGCCGTGAGTGTAACACGAGTTTAATACTACAACACCACTTGTTTTAACAAAGTGTCACTAATACAACAGTTAGCGACTATCGTAAAACTCAGTCTTGGGAAACTTTACATAAACATCATACTCAAATGTCAGACACGATGAATTGGTGAACGTATACCACGAAGACTACAAAACACAACTTATTGTATATTTCGAGGACATAACGCTATAATAATTTTAATTAAATAAAAAGGAAATTATATAAACATAAGCAAAAACATTGTTACTACGCTTAAGAGGAAAGAATGATGTAGGCGGCGATAATTGGTGAATGTGTAAACAAGTGGGCGGAGGTAGTTGGGCAGCTCACCTGTGGTCACTTGTGCTAGATGTGGTTGAGGCTGTAGGCAGAGGGTACAAGGGTAGTGGTGTTGAGTTGTGAGAGAGAGGGTGACGTTCCTCCGAGTTGTGGTGGTGACGGAGGTGTTGCGTCCATGGATACTCAGTCGAGAATGACTTAACCAGACTGTCACAGATCCTGGACTTAAGGGAGTGTGTGGTGGTGCTCACGTGTCACCGATCCTGGACTTAAGGGAGTGTGTGGTGGTGCTCACATGTCACAGATCCTGGACTTATGGGAGTGTGTGGTGGTGCTCACGTGTCACAGATCCTGGACTTAAGGGAGTGTGTGGTGGTGCTCACGTGTCACAGATCCTGGACTTAAGGGAGTGTGTGGTGGTGCTCACATGTCACAGATCCTGGACTTATGGGAGTGTGTGGTGGTGCTCACATGTAAACAACTGCTCAACACCAGATCTTAAGGTAAATACTAAGTGTTCCCTGTTTGTGGTAGTGACAGTAACTTTACTTGGTCACTGTCCTTCTCACACCCACCGAAAAAATATCACTTGACTGACTCTTTCACCGATGGAGTGAAAAATTGGATATACTGTATACAGTTTTATTCGCGTGATTCTTACCTGTTCTCATGCGGTCCACTCATAAACTGTTCTACTCTACTTTGCGGAAACTAATTACGTGAAGATAATTTGATATTCGTCAAAATACAATAATTCCGTAGTATTGTCTGAGGTATTTCTGTAATGTTGTATACCGTGTATGAATCTGAGGGTGGTAATACACGCTTCACATATATGATGAACAATACCACTTAAAACACTCTTTGTGTATTTTATCTTATTAGCTTTGTTTCTCTTCCATTGTTGTGTGGGGAGCGTCGAGGGACACGGAGACCTTGGTGATGGGGAGGTAGGGGCGGGACGAGTGCACAGGGTGACGGCAGAAGGTGAAGATGTCTGGTAAAACTCTTATACTCTATATGTACACACACATATACACATGCATACTGTACATACACACATATACACATGCATACACATACATCACATACATACACGCATACATTATGGGTACGTGTCGTGCTGCGGGCACACCCACGCAACACTGCTTCCATTATAATCTGTGTAGCATACCATCCGCCTCGATCACCCACCAGAGACACTCTTATCAATCATCTCATCACCACCTCAGACCACCTCAGAGTTAAGTACCCATGTGCCAAGTTAGTATTATGTGGGGATTTAAATGAAATTGACACCACTGATATCCAGGACCAGCTATCACTATCACAAGTTGTGACCTTCCCCACACACGGTCAAAACACCCTTGACCTTATCTTAACTGACTTAGCGGACCAGTACCAACCTCCTCAACCACTGCCTCCTATCGGGTGTAGCACACACTTATCAGTGCTCTGGTCCCCTGCTGCCACTCCCACTCAAGTACAGAGACCCTACATCAAGACCTACAGGCCGATTACTGACTCTGCAGTACGCCTCTTTGGACAGTGGATAGTTCACTATCCCTGGACTGAAGTACTCAGCGTGGATGACGTGGAAACCAAATGGATAAATTATACCAACACCACCACCGAAGCTCACCACCACTTCTTCCCCGAGAAGTCCGTCAGATCACACCCAGCTGACTTGCCCTGGATCACACCTCGGATCAAAAGACTTATGCAACAGAGAGACAGAGCCTTTCATCTCAATGACCACATCCGCTACAGGTCACTTCGCAACAGAGTCATCCGCGAAATACGCACTGCAAAGAAGTCCCACTACCCAACCAAATTGCAACACCTGAAGCAGACCAACATCAGTCAATGGTATGGTAAGCTTAAAGAACTCTGTGGACTAAACAATAAGACACACCCCCTCCCCTTCCTTAGCCACCTCACTAATGTTGACGCAGCTGAGCAAACAAATAACCATTTCGCTACTATATGCCAGACGCTCCCACGGCTTGACACAACCACTCTCCCTGCTTACCTACCAGCCCCCCTTCCCACTGACTTAGTAGAGGAATTTGACGTAGCAAAACGCCTGGACAAACTAAAATTAAAACGCTCTACCACCCCCTTTGACTTACCAATGAAACTATTCAAGGAGTTCTCCCCGGAGCTTGCTAAACCCCTCTGCTCCATCATCAATGCTTCTCTCAGTCAAGCCAGATGCCCAGCTGACTGGAAGACCTCTTATGTATCACCAGTGCCCAAGTCAACCAGCCCACAATCCTTAAATCAGCTACGACCTATTGCAATCACCCCAATACCCAGCCTAATCTGTGAAAGTTTTGTGTTTGACTGGGCTTATGCTGATATTGCAAGAGTCGTAGACCCTCAACAATTTGGCAACATGAAAACTTCCTCCACCACTCACTGTCTTGTCAGCTTTCTCGATTACATATACCGCCATCTCGAGAAACGAAAAACGTCTGTAGCTGTCGCCTTCATTGATTTCACTAAAGCGTTCGACCTAGTCGACCACAATATAATCATAAACAAAGCTATTGACCTCGGGCTTCGGAGAAGTCTCATACCATGGCTTACAGACTTCCTCAGTGACCGACGCCAAGCTGTACGCTTCCGAGGGGCTGTCTCCACCTTTCAGTCACTCACCTGTGGCGTCCCCCAAGGCACCCAGATGGGACCACTCTGCTTCCTTATGCTCATCAATGATGCCCTAAGAGAAACCCCTGCTGCGCTGAAATATATGCGACGACTCCACCATTGGGATCAGCGTCAACAATTCTGCTCCCAACTATACCGCCTCCCTTCAGGATTTATTAGACAGTCTCCAAAACTGGGCCACCAACAACCATGTCTGCCATCAACCATACCAAGACCATGGTTATGCACATCAACCTCTCCTCCGACATTGTCCCACCTCCTTCCATCTACCCTAGGTCCGAACACACTCCAGGTTGTAGATTCCACGAAGCTCCTCGGCGTCACCATAGACAACAAACTAAATTGGAAACCACACGTCAGTGAAGTTGTCAAATCCTCCAGTTTCCGTCTCCACCTCCTCCGCCGACTCAAGTCCCTCGGAGTTCCCGCACACGAGCTCCTCAGTGTATACACAACATTCATACTTCCCAAGCTCACCTATGCCTCCCCCACCTGGTCTTCCTCCCTAAATGCCACACAACGTAAACACCTAGAAAAAGTGCAAAAGAGGGCATGCAAGATTATTCTCTCCCCTTCCTACTCCACATATCAAGAAGCGCTCAACACACTGACCCTTTCGACTCTCACTGACCATCACCACGGCCTCATCTGCAAATTTGGTAAGAAGCTTCTACACCATCCCCGACACCGGCCCCTACTACCACCTGAGATCCCCTGTCCGAGAATTGCTGTTCGACACCACAACCGCATCCAGCCCATACGTGCACGAACTGATCGCTATAAGAACAGCCCAGTCCCAACCATTGTAAAAATTATCAATAACATGTAATAAATCAGTGTATTCACTCCCAGTAAACACTGCTCCCTACACTGTCACTATGTTGAAATGAACTGTAGTTTGAGCTGATCCCCATCTAAGTTACTATATGTCTTATTTGTGTCACTTATGTCACTTGTATATTATTTGTAATTCGTAACCCATTCCCCAAATATGTAACTGTATATTTTCAGCCTTCTGGCTGCCAAGCTCTTTCAATAAACCGTTAATTATTATTATTATTATTATTATTATTACACATACACACACCTTTGTTCCGCCGCGTTTTTTTTTTACAATGAAGGATTTTGTTAGCGGACTCACTCCCTTATGTCACCCTACGTAATCTCTGTCATATCTGTTCATTGTGTATTATTTTCTCTCAGTAAACGGCTGGTAATTGAATCTTTATATTATAAAAC